AAACCTGACCGTACCAAGTGGGTCGATGACATGATCCCGCACAAAGAAGCTTACAATAGCCGTTTGGAGGTTATGTACCGACCTGCGGATCCAGAGCAAGGAGACTACATCGAGTACCCGGACCGTACTGCTGCTATCCTACTCGATCGGTGTAGCTTCTTAATACTCTTTTTTTGTTGCACCCAGGTATGTCCCAATGAGTTTACCAAGTGGGTTTTAATGAGGTTAAGGGCTGCACCCAACTCATTGACCGTGGTTCGTTGATGGTTTGATAGGTGGTACGGAAGGCGAAGGACCACTCTTGGGCGAGAACCGAAAAATCAGTCAAGGGAGCTGAGTGGTCATTCAAACTATCATTAAATGCTTTATTTAATTTTTCTATGTCTTTTAAACTTCTTTTCGCCTCTATATAAAGGCTTGAACTCTATGTAATTTTTCATTCATCTTTTTCTTAATAAAATTTTGAGACTTTTCTTGTTCTCTTTGATTTCTTCTTTTAATCGGTGTTAGCCTTAAGTTTTTTTTGGTTTATCGACTTCAGTCCATAGGATTCGACGCAGCCTCTTCTCATCTAGTTTTTGGTTTCGTTCATAGTAGTTTAGGGGCATCAGGATTTTCGAGACTTGTCTCACGCCTGATCATCCTTTACCAGCGAGATCTCAAACTCGGTGTAATCACCACCTTGTTCTCATCTGTTCCCGCGAGTTGTGCCTAAGGATTTTTGAGATAACCTCTCACGCCTTAGCATCTTCTCTGAATAACCGATCCAGGTCAAGGATCTATCAAGTTCAACCGATCAAGCGAGTGCAATTCATGGGAGGATCGTATCACCTCAGGAAGCTGATCCACATGTTTCTGGAGAAGTCATCAACTACCACAAATATGTACTTCTTGCAATTAATACTCTCGGTCTGGATCGGCCCCATTGGATCCATGTGCATCAGCTCCAAATCCTTGATGATCTGGTTTCAGTCAAGGCCTTGTGTTGTACTTTGACCTGTTTCCCTTTTTGACAAGATGCACACACTGTCTCAGTAGTTGTTTCGAGTGTTGGAATTCCCCGAACAACTTCTGTCTTGACTAGTTTGCTCAAACCACTGACATTCATATGACCAAGACTTTTGTGCTAGAGATCCAACTGAGACTGCTTTGCCGACAAGCACTGATTCGACACTCTACATATAACAGTTGTTACCAGATTTAATCCCAAACAGAACCATGTTGCCATTCTCATCCACTGCTTTACAGTCTACCCGAGTGAAGATCATTTTCAGTCCCCCATCGCATAACTGACTGACAATAATGAGGTTTGCATTCAGCCCATGAACATAGTACATATTCAGAAGTTGCGGTTGATCCTCACCAACTAATGCTCTAACCCCTATTATCTTGCTTTGTCCTCCGTCTCCGAATGTTACCTGTCCTCCTTTTACTTTATTAAGACTTTGGAATGTTACCTGTCCTCTTTTTACTTTATTAAGACTTTGGAAACACTCTTGATAACCTGTCATGTGCCTCGAGCATCCACTGTCAAAATACCATGAGGTTGCCACTTCACCTTCCATGGATATGTATGCCAC